TGCGATAGACTTACCTTCACGTGGTGCAACCTGGGCAACGAACACTCATACGGCAAAAAAATTCTATTAACCGGCAGTTGACTTCTGACTTCAAACTACCACGACCCCCCTGTATGTCATATTCGACTACTTTCACAGTACTCACATCACCTTTTTTCTAAATTTTCAACCTTTATCTTTGAAACACTCTTCAGTTCCCCTTCTCTCGACTTTTTTCACTTTGGTGTTCCTTCCCCTCTGTGAAGCCTGAAGTCAACTAAAGGGCTAATGATAACCATCAAAACGCCTATCATTTGATATAAATAAATAAATATATAAAAAATTAGACAGCTAAGAGGAGTACCATATTTCAAACATTAAATACTAATACTTTCAGGAAAATCAGTTCTATAATGAAAATTATTCTAGGTGGACAATGGTTTACCATTGATACATTCTTAATGAAATCTAGGATAATAATAAGGAAATAAATATCTCAGGATGATACGAATAATAATGCAATTGAATCAGTATAGCCAAGATAATATATCACCCAGAAAACAATTAATAAAAACTTGACACTTGATCTCCAACACCTTGGAGGGTTTATTACTCTTATGCTAAGGTGGAAAATTCAACGCAGAATTATTTTAAACTCCTATTCCCGTTACACACTTTGCTAAACAATTTACCAAATTCAAGAAGTCTCCTGTTATAATAAGGCTTAAACTTATGTAATTATTTTGTGTTTCATGAAAATTGCGCAGTTATGGAAGCTATATTACGCTTACTGATGGCCTGTCCGTGAGAGAACTGGATATGATCGTCCCAGACGTCACCAGCCATCGCTCGAAGACTCATGAGATAATATCTCACGATAGTCTGACGCTCGCAACTTGTAAAGAAATTCTCTTGATCAAAAACTCCCTCAAAGTTCTCACAATCTTCAATGCAAAACTCCTGCAAGTCTCCACCGAGATCAGCAATCAAACGCTTGCGAAGTCGAACCTCCTGAGCACCCTTAAGAAAACTAAAATAAATATATTATGTTCAAGTAAATATTCAAATATCTTAATCTCAAAGCACAAAATATTTCTAACAATTCCAACTAGACAATAATCAATAAGAATTGAATAGTGTGGATATGCATCTACTTAGAAATAAAAGTGGTAAATTACGAAAACTCAGCATAAAAACACAAAATAGTACCAATAAATTTACGATGATATTCCATTCGATCCTTAATTGGCTGTGTTTAACATAATCATGGCAAAATAACTGACAATTACCTGCTCAACCGTTGATTCGCTTGAAATATATGGCTTCAAATGAACTGCACGTACTATTGGTGGATGTTTTAAATATCGAATATCGTAGTTATCAATCTCAAAGGTAATAAAGAACAGTCACTTTTGTATTTCACTAAATATTGATGTGATACTTTGGCATGTGGGTAGCATGCGCTTTGGCAACCTTGCTATTTATTATGCTTCGGTTAGCTTTGCGGAGATAGTCTGAAAATTCGAGGAATAATTTTTGCATTAGTAAAGGAATTGAATTTGTTTATTTAGGGAATATTTGAAAATGCCAGGAGACTATTTGTGTTTAAAATCTTTAAAGCATTCACCTTGTTCTAGTTAACCTCTTTACTCGAAAGCTCCAAATTTCTGAAGTTATCGATTTTTCTTTTCAATGAGCACAAACAGGAATATATTTTAACATTTTTAAAGATCCTAACCAACGGAACTCATTGCAAATACCGTGACAAAGGTGAAAAAATTAATTAAAAAAGTAAATAAACAGTTAATTTAATATGGTTATGGGAAAAAACCATTTCAATTCAAGAAAATAATGCAAGGAGCGTTTGTTTACTCTGATGATAAAACTGTCAATGGTTTGTATTATATAAAGCTATGGTGAAACCTGAGAGTATTCGTCGAAAATAGATTAAAAAACTCCTAGAGACATGGCTATAAATTTGAGCCAATAAAAAACGTGAATTAATAAAAGATTTCCAGCTCCTTAAAAGTAAATTTTACAAGCACATGGTGTATACAAATACAAACCTTAAAAGCTTTAAATGACTCCTGTTTAATATTAAACATATAAATAAAAAACCGTAATTATACAATGTTAAAAATTATTTATCACAGTAAAGCATTCACTTCATACTCAATCCCTTTATTATGACACTCAAATAAACATTACTATTTGAAATAAAATGTAGAAAACTTGATGAATTCCGTGAAAAGGGGATTTGGAAAGATGGAGAAAAAAATTATGCTATTTTCGGTTCCATAGGCCGTGAAAGGATTATAATGACGAAGTGAAAGGAAAGGTTTTCAATAATATACGAATGGTCACAGAAATCACATCATTATCATTGCTATAAACGTGAAGAACGCCAGGTGTTCTACTTAAGATGTTACAATTCCAATAAAATATAAGGACAGCTCTAAGTGTATCTATTCAAATACAATTTGTCATTTTAATTTAGTTTCCAAATCAATAAAACTGCCCAAAACCAAAGGAGGAATTTTTCACAACAATATATATATATATATATTTGAATGTGTTTGCTTATTTGAATGGAAAGCATGAATACAACTATTATAATACAAGAACCTTGCAAATGAAATTTATTGATTACTCCTTAAAAATACGCTGAGTTGAATATTTTTAATTTGAATGGGAGATGTATCTTATGAAATCGAATACTAGTATTACTGGTGTGATTTAAAATTGTAATAAGCTATCACGAATGAGACTAAACACAATACTTAGAGAAGATTATTAAAAAAACTGAATTAAGGGAAATTTTCACCATTTAAATTGCGTTGCAGATTGGGATATTACATGAAGTGCAATCCAGACGTAGATAGTTCCAGGAATTAGGCTTATTACGTTCCTCTCTTTACCCGAGGGAAAACAGTACTACGAATCAGATCATACTTTAGACAACAATCATGTCATCTTTAAGTGAGAGTATACTATCAAATAGGTACAACCTTTGAGCATTCGAATGCATCAGTGAGAAGCAGAAATAGAAGGTATAGACAAAATTAAGAAGTCACTGGAATGTTCAATTTAAATTAAATTCGCGAGCACTTCATAGTCCACAAGCAATTGCCATAGCTCCGATTACCCAGACATTTTGCTTTCCAATAATCGTAATGGTGAAAAAAATATCTGAATATATTTAACCAATTTGACTAAATTGACATTTTTCAATCAGCCAGTGCGTTAAAGACGCAGTGATTAGTGCGTAGGTCAGCCAAGGCATATGATACGAGATTGATGTACATGGATTATACAGATTACCATCAATACTGGTTAATTTTAACCTCCAAGAGCTTTGATAGGCCTTTCCCACTACTAAAGCCAGGTGTCGTTATTACTTCCCAAATGGGATCCGAAATCGCACCCTTCCCCCTGGAAATGCGCATGATCCTCCTTTCTAGGTGAGAAAATTTTTAAACCAATCATTACCCCTCATTACTGCCAAAAGTTATTAATTAAAAACTACTCGAAAAGTACAACTAATCAGGTGCTTTTATGCGTGATGTTATATTAGTTGATCCCAATGTCGTTACTTACTAGGTCATGATGAAAACGTGACCCTACCAATTAACCAAATATTTGAACTAATTCAAAGCCCTTTTAAAATGTCTATTTTATTAAATGAGAATGATAGTTATCGACTCAAAATATGCGTGATTTTATGTGATTCAGAAATATTTAGAATACGATAAGAAATTGATATCATTACCATTAGTAAGTGGTGTCTGATGCAAGTTTAATATGTTAGTACATACTCAACAGATTTGTTTAAACATGCTAAAAGTGAGCTTTTTATCTCAAAATACGAATTTTTTGGTCTTACCAGCATGGTCTTGACCACATTGGCACACATCCATAAATTTGCAACATGACCACCTCGGAATTAAAGTAATCGATCAATACTCCTTGGATGTTAGTGTCAAATAATCTCACCTATAAACTTAGGAGACACATAATAAAGTGTTATGATGTGAATACAGGGTACCCAATCATGCTTAACATAAGAATAATGACCATTCGATCGGAGTAGAACTTAAAAAGATCAATACTCATGAACCTTGTATTGCTTAATTGAATCTTTTGGACAACATATAAAATTTGAATTGCGAACTGCTTTACAAGATGCTGAAAATATATAAATATGGTTATATGGGATAGGAAAGCCACTTGCTGAATTTCCAGCTTTCACCTTAGAAGTAACCAGAGTGAATAAAGCTAGAAATTCAAACCCCAAATAAACAAAAGCATTTGAATATTTCATCAACAAAGAACCAAGTTTTATTCGAATAAAATGTTCAACCGAAATTCAAGAGAGAAGAGCAAAGTTGTGAAATAAGTTTTGATTTTCTACTAGTTTATTATATATTTTAATAAGTATTAAGAATAAGCATTCTTAAAGAATAAGATAAATATAGATTTTTAATTTAAATGAATTAGAATTTCGAAATATGATTAAAATATTTATAGTAGACATACTTAGTAAAGGAGATTGAGAAAACAATGATATCAAATTGTCATTACTTTGCCCAACTGGTGTATTAGAACTCAAAAATATCGCATTACAGTGTTAAGAACTAGGTCTTGTAAAAAGGTCACTCACGGAATGCACTCAAGATTACAAACTAGATTTCAATTTCTTTAAATTAGGAACAAAGATGATATAACATTAAAACCCTGAGGATGCAGAAACATTGTACTTTGTAAAAAGCAGTATATTTTATTTAAAATTATTCAAACATACTCTTTGTATGAACAGGTTAGATAAAGCGCAATCCTCTGAGTTCCTCTATGGAAAGTTCTGGTGAATAATAATTCCGGAATTCTGGCCTGGATCCGATCAGATAACCAAGCAACCTGTTCCTCTCGAGTATCTCTTTCGAAGGTGATAACAACATCACAGTTAGAAGGCGGTTTGGTGGAGAAACTCCTCCACTTCCGACTGCGCTCCAGTAGAGTTTTTCCCGTGTAGGTAACGCGTTCCCGAAGATCCGATAGGCGCTCTACAGCGCAAGAGATAAGAAACATATGAAAGAGAGTGATAATTTTCCAAATGAAATCTAATACATGAACACTACTGCACACCGTAGCAAATGGACAAATGCGTTAATCGATTACCCGAGTGCCACTATTCAAGGTCACATCATAGAAGGAAAGTGGCCAATAGAAAATTGCAGGAAATCAAAGTCGGACAAATGAGCACAAGATAATCAAATGGTAAATGATCATTGGCTATTTACGTATTTTAAACAGTATATGTGTTTAAGAAATGGAAATGAGTGAAAATAAACGCTATAACCGATATTAAAAGATACAAACGAATTTGATGAGCAAAAAATTAAAATTCTGATAAATAATTAGCTATAATGAAAGTGATAAACTCAATGGGATTTCACCGAAATGTGCTATTTACCGGGATAAACTGAAACTTAAAAAAAAGATTATCGTAAAATGAAGCAAAGTCAAAAAACAAAAAAACATATAAGGAATTGAGTCTTTCCAAGCATTGCCTGTTTGGCAGCAGCTTTGAAGGGAAATAACAATAAAGATTCAATAGATTACAAAATATCTTTTCCAGTAAAACGCAACAATATTTTTTTCAACTTAAAATTACACTAATAAAACGCGAATTCTTTTAATATCAATATAAAATTGTGAAAATATTAAAATCGCTAAACTTTATTAACACCAAATTCAATAAAGAAATTATAGAAAAAACGTTTGACACATTTAAATGTAATGTCACAATTAGTATACAACGTACGACAATGCGCAACAAATTTATTCATGTTTAAGTTTCAACAAAATTACCTTTATATTTGTTAATATCCGGCATCAGCTAGAATGAATCTTCAAAAAGCGCGCATGAATAAGCAATTTTTAATTACTTATTAAAAACAATTTCAAGGCCAAATTATGAATCTTTAATAGTGCCATTTCTTTTGAAAGAGTATAGAATCATTTTAATGTCTCTCGTTTCCTTTAACACGTAACTTTATTTCGAATTATGATTTGAATAAACATCATATTACAATTACTGCTTGAAAATTTAATAGTAAAATTTAAATTCATGATCTTTTAAGTGATTTGACATAAGGGAAATTAAACATAAATCTATGTCAAAATGCGGCTTGCTTGATATAAATTAGATTTAGTTTGCAAACCATTCTCACATTCTCTACTAGCAATTCTTTATGAAATCTTTCTGCTCTTAGTGATTGTTATCAACGAATTTTTGAGGTAAGTTTCATTTTTAATTACATTAAGCTAAGCCTCGTTAGTATTCTGTGAATGAGTTTGAACGTATAATAATTATATATACTTCAACATAATTAAGCAACAAATATTATTTTTTAACAGGCTCAGTTATGTGGATTTTGTTTAAACCTAGTTGTGAAAATATTTAAACGCTCTATTTGATTCTTCCAATTTTCATAACTTCATAAATGATACGATGAGTTGAATCTCATTTTTAATTATTGTTCTTTTTCCGATTGTATTGAATAGCGAGATTGTTTCATAATATCTAGTAGTATTATGTTCTTATCACCAAATCGTCTTTGTGTACCATGCTGACTGTCTAACAATTTCATGGATTTAAATTCATGCATTTTATAGGCTTGAACTTTCAGCTGAACTAATACCTAAGGCTCATTAAGTTAAGTGTACAAAAGCGCCCTTAAAATACATTAAATTGGCTCATGGTATTTCCCCACCAATTACTTTTGATGTCTGATGAAAAATCAGCACGAGCGTGGAAATTAATTTACTTTAAGTTAAGTTATTGGCCGAAATTAGGTAAATAAATATCTTTCGCGTTTAACAGCACTATGCAGAATTTTGAGATCGTTCGTATAACTTCTTATGGCCTACTAACTAAAATTAATCTGTCTACAAAGAAGATGATAAAATGAAAAGGAAACTGTTGATTATTTCTCTAAACTATCTGAAAAATAAGTCATACTATATTGTCTGTAAGTCGTTCATTTCCTTAATCAATATGCGGGCGCATGCCAGTCACAAGTTAGACAATCCACTATCACGCCGTCCAAGTTAGGAACTGAGTCAAAAGTAGGTTAAGGATAGCAAGTTACCGGTTGTAGCAAAGAGCGTAAACTGACTTTTCTCGTATCTTATGAGCGTCTAAAATTTGTACTCATAAACAAATAATGTCGATAAATTTCAAAGTAGAAATGGGGAGAAATAACGAACGGCATCATCTTATTATGATTTCTATTTCCCATCCCAAAGAAATTTATCTTAATTTACTGTGGTTGTGGTTCTATTAATGGTACTGCATTGTTCTCTTATGAAATATATTTCGCTGACAACTTACCTAATACGCAAATTACAGAATTGCAAATTAAAATTCCTCCCCTAAAAGTCAAATGTTGCTTTAGAATTTTCTGAAAGCCATGAGTATTTTTTATTTATATTAAATAGCATCTTTTTTGATAGTCATCAGTAGTCCTTTAGTTGACCTTGGACTTTACAGGGGGGAGGAATATCAATGCGAGAAAAATCGAGAGGGGAACAGAAAAATGATTCACAGATGTAAATGAGGCAGACGTATACAAGGGTAGAGAAAAAGGTAAGAAGAGTAACGTGGTAGTGGTCGAATCAATACAGTGAGGTGATGGTAGTTTAAAGTCAGAAGTCAACTGCTGGTTAATAGACTTTTTTGCCGTATAAGTATACGTTACGTTGGGAGCACCAGATGGAAGCAAGTCTATCACGCAACCCAAAGCCGAGAAAACAAACGTGGCTGAAGCAGTGGAACGTAGAGTTGCATTGCCATCAAGTTATTGTTTCATAAAAAACTTTGAATTAACGTCTTCTTTGTTGAATCTTGGCAGCTGGACTTTTCAGAATGAACTCAGCCCTTTCAAATAAAGATCAGAGCTGCAAACGAACTTCCCTCCTGACATCTTGTCAACTAATTGTAATAAAGACTGTTATTACTCCTACAGTGTTTTGATCGTCAAGCTTTGACAGCATAACGACAACTTTATTCTGATGAGCTTCCAATGGATAAGACTGAAAGGTGTCTTTAAAGGATCATATTTTCAAAGGGGTCTTGAAATTCCTTACATCTTTTTAAATTAATGCCCTTTAAGCTGTCATAAATCGATGTTGACATTCAGTGCTAGACAGGCCAGTTTAACGACCTCTCTGCAAAATAATTGTCAAAGGGCTATTAATTGTAGTCAAATGCACTAATATGAGTCACTTTAATTAAGCATTTAATTTATGAATCTTGAAATTGAAGGCCTTTCACGTATGAAGACAACTTTAAAATGACCTTGAAGTTTGTTCGTTTCACGGCGAATCTGAAAAAACACTCATGAAAATTATTCTTGTATCTTGGACATTAAACGTCAACCATTCATCATCCTCATTTCATTTGTTTGAAATTCCTTTCATACTTTCCAAATATGGTTATAACTAAGACTAAAAGTAAATGAAACAATTTAATCGCCGCGCACAATATCTTCCACCTGTTTATTCATCCTAACACAAGGATTTATGGCTTTGTTCCACTACCGCTGAATTGAGAGTAGAACTAGAGGCTTAGAAGAATTCTAAATATCAAAGCACGAATGATAAATAACGACGGTTTATTTGGAATTTGGTAAAAATATTTAACCAACTGAAGCAGGTTGAGATGCTCCACAATGTGGTTGAAACTGGGGCCCATTAGTCATAAAGTATCAGGCCATCATGTGGCAATTTGAGCCAGTATTAAGTGCAAATAGGTGATCTCTTCCAACATCTTAGCCAACGCCTTCTTACTAAATCAGCTTCCTTTTAACAACAGGTGGCCTTTGATTAAAATCAAATTGTAACAGAGGAGGCGTTGGTGTTTATGCATCTCAAAAAAGTCAATAATAAAATATGACAATGAAAAGGGATTAAGATTTGATGGAGAAATCGATAAATACTTTGGAAGTGCAGAAAATTTCAAACAATAAAAATATTTCTTCCAATAGGCAATTGCCAACCGAATCAGGCTCCGTTATCATAAAAATTTAGTGATATCATCCTGCATCAAATCATATACCACGCAGCACGATACGTTACACATACATTTTAATATGACATAATGGCATTATCAGGGAATCCCATGAGATCGAAATTTCTGAAAAGTGCGATTATGTGTGCTGTGGCCTTGTTGGCTACTGGGAGAGTAATATTCGTTCAAATTTGCATTAAATGTATACATTTGCTTGGCAAGTTTTTGCTCTGACCATGATTTGAAATGAACGCTTTAAGTTCGGAAACAAGTTTACTTATATTCTTATTTCAAATGGTAGACTTTATGATAGTTATCAGTTGTCCTTTAGTTGACTTCGGGCTTCAAAGAAGGGAGGAACACCAAAGCTACAAAAAGTAGAGTGAGAAACAAAAGAGTGGCTCACAGATGTAGGAGAGACAGACACAAAGGTAGAGAAAAAAGCAAGGTGAGTTCTGTGGTAGTGGTCAAATAGGACATACAGTCGGGTCATGGTAATTGGAAGTCAACTCCCAGTTTATAGAGCATATGCTACCCATAGTGCACTATGTGGAAGTAAGTTTATCGCGCATCCCCACTGGCAAGCTTAAAAGAGAGGATTTCGCCAGAATGTCAAGGCTTATTTGTTAGGGGCCTCCAGGAAACTTCAGCATCATATGGACATTAAAGTTCCTCTTTATTCTTAGCGCCATCCGTTGATTTTGTTTTTACTGTGCGTTTGCACATAAATTTTCTGTTCACTTGCAGACTTTTACTTCCATCTTTCTTCATGAATTACAACGCATGGAAAGTAAGACATCGTCATTCATTTCTACTCAGCATACGATGTGCTCCAGCACCCATGGCGCACAGAAAGGAAAGCCAGACATCCAAAGAACGGTCAACCATCACGAATGCCTATTTCACGTTCACACTCTAACGTCAATTCAAATTCATTCGATAAATCGAATTAGCTCGAATTTTTCAACTGCAAAAACTAAATTGGCGTAAAGCAGAAATTTGAACTTTTAAAGCA